TTAGTCCTTATGCATCAATAGTCTGAGTATAATAATGGTAATAAAACTTCTGGCTTTTATATTTTCTATAGACTAACTGACTAATTATATTATTATTATATTCTGTAATATAAAAAATACATTATGTTTGTCATTAATATTATTATATTAGATACACATTTATGCTGTAACAATATTGTAATAACAACGAAGACAAACTCTAAAATTCATAAATAACTTTAAAATTGTTTATTTAAACTGTTCGCAATAATTGTATTCTGACTATCGACTATAATAGTTTATAATATAAAGATTAAAGTTATTCAACTATAGACTAACCGAAGTTAATAAGGATGTTCTGAATTATATTTACGTAATTTAGTGCCCAACTATTTCTATATATCTATATTTATTTATTGTTTATTTAAGTATTAAGTTGATTCCTGTATGCAGACAATTATTTGAATCTTTGAAATTTGTTTTAAAGGTACATTTTTAAATGTTAACTATATTATTTTAACATTTTGTTTTATATTATTGCATTGGCTCACGAAATAATAATTTTCGAAAGTAACGAAACGAGCAGGTGCATGATACATCGTTGTTAAATTATACGTTTTTCACTGTACGCCTATAGATAACTACCTTACTTTAATGGGGTTGGACCCTTAAACAACATTCAAAAACCAGTTGTTCCACTTTCTGGAAATCCACCCATGTCAAATTATTAACAAATCTCCCCCGAACTGAAGAAACACAATATTGTTGATCTTTATTAAAAAAAAATACATTTTATCCACATACCAAAGTTATTATATATACGCTTGTACGATACCTATATAGTCGCGATGTATTGGTTACGTAATTTACTGATATATTATTATGATTCAGAGCCTGGGACTGGGAGGTAGTACCAATAGGATAGTAGAATATTATAAAAATATTCATCGATGCGTTCATATTTTATGAAGAATTCTCTTCGATATGATGTATCGATGTGTACCAACATGGATATTAAAACTAATAATAAAAGTGTTAGTCGATTTTAAGAAACGAAAAATCAATGAAATAGGTAAATAGAATACTAAAGCAAACAATTGATGTACAATTTTTTTTATTCATCAAAATGCGTTTTTTAAAACTTTGTTTTTGTTTGTTCCTAAATATTCCTATAGTTGTTAGTTATTGTGAGATCGCATAGTCTTTTTTTTCTTTACTTATATGCTTTGTCAGGTGAAACAATAGATCACGCAAGTGAAACTTTTACCAAGGGGTCATAACATTATCTCCCAGCAGGTCATCTATATTTCAAACATTATTCAAAAAAAACAACAACAACGTCGATGTATGAAAGTAACAGTATAACAAGCCCATTTTTATTGTTACGCTCAGTAGCCTGTTAACATATATTAAACGTAACAAAAAAAAAAAAATGGTCATTTCAATTATATATATCATTTTTAATTTTTCGAAAGTCTAAATTAATTTAAGTAGCAACAATTAAATACTTCGAGTCCGTAGACACTTCTGTCAAACTTATTTCATAATACTTAAATAAAATAAAAAATGTGAGCCTATATACCTATTCGTAATGTAGTCAATTTTGTTATTAGGGGTAAGAGGTATTGTAAGAGTTGCATGACCTGAGGACCAATCATCGGGGCTTAAGGAGGGGTCGATCAACAATAGTTACAATAGTATAGTGTAATTTTCGCTTTTTGCTTGTCCGCCGGCGAGTCCACTCATTTGGAACTGCTCAAACCACAGACGCTACACAAAAATGATGGTTTTCTTTGCCGATTGAATAAAGCACGTCGGTTATATTTTTCATTTGCCTCGTAGATTGTAGACGAGAATATAATGGAAAAAAATCGAACAGACGAATATACAACCGGTTCTACCTCACTTGAAACGTGCTCTAGGTTTTCCGACGATTCGTCTGTTCAACCAATAACTGTTGGTGTGTTTTTTCGTCAATAAGTTTCCAACATAATCATCATTATTATTTTTGTTCATCGGTTTATAATGGTTTAATACATTAAACAACGACCATGCATGAGAATGTTTTTTTACAAGGTGTAATTGAGTTTTTGATAATAATACCTTTAAGTAATTTTTAACCATCACTTCGGTGTGAAGGATCGTATACAGAGATTGGTCTAAAAACTAATTTATAAAATATCAGTATATTTAAGTAGAATGTATATTATTCTTTTTAAATTGTAAGTTATAACAATTATTAATTAGCTGTATTTAAATTTAGGATAATTTTAACACGATTCGGCTATATTAGGTAGGTATAGTAAAAATATCAATTTTATTTTCAGTGAATTCGGCTTTTATAATATTTACCAATAAAATTACAATAGAATCGCTGCAGTGAACACTGGCCGTTTTAATTTACAGGCAACATTTTTACCGTAAAAATTAATGTAGCTATTTTATTGCGTACAAAATTACAATGTACGATAAATCGTAAATTGCTGAAAATTACTCTTAAGAAGCACTAAAATAGCAAAATATAAATATTTATTTTATTGATAAATTTATCATAAATATTACGTAGAATCAAGATAGTTAAAAATATTTTTAACAAAGTTAACTTATCACTACTAATATTTTGTAAGGAGAAATGATTAAATATTATTGTACATTTGTATCTAAAAGCTAGATACAAATTTGCATACATTACTAACGAAATGAAAATGAAAACATAAAATTGAAAAATAAAAATAATTTTAACTTCATTTTTAAATAGGTTTATGTACCTATGATTTATAAAATCAAGACGCACATACAATTTTTACAATCTAAAAATCAGGGCTCAGTTAACACAATTAATGATCTATTATTCTTATTTTAATTTTATTTAACTATACCTAATAAAATACAAACGATATTGTTACTTTAAATTAGAGCATTACTAACATTTGACGTATTTAGAGTTTCTACACATTTTTCTAATCTTTATTTAATCAAGCATTGATTGTAACTCCGTATACATAACATGGATTTCAAAGATGAATTAATATTTTACATAATATACAAAATATACACCATCTTAAGTTTAAATCACTACATAAAATTACATTGTATTGAATGATTCATTTCCAAGCAGCATTGTGGGTAAGTACTCAACAGTAAAGTCGTAAGAAGAAAATTATTTCTTAAGTATCTGTGTAGAATGTATAGGTGCCTAGCCAATTATGTGATGATTAACAGTCGGAATTCCGTCTTAATGTCTGCGCTGGCGTGGTCAGGAATTTCATTATTAAGAAGTATGATAGTATTTTATGACTGTTGACACAACTAATAATATAGGGTTTGTGCTGTTGCTAACCGTTGAGGAGGTTGAATCACACAGACCATGACCACTCCCTCCGCTTTCACTGGCTGCGTTCCATCCGGCCGGAAGACCTACATATAGGAAAGTTTCCAGGCTATAACGCCGTGCATACGCATATATTATTAAATAAATATATGCACGATACTAACTATGTTATGGACACACACACGACTGACGTAGTGTGTACTGAAAATTTCCTAAGTCGATTTTGAGTCATGGCTATATGATAGATACTTACACATATGAATACATGATGTGTTTACTCCTCTGTTCTACTCTTTTGTATTTCTGCGACACAATGTGTTACATTATAATATATTATATTATTATATTATGACTAAAAATAATGAGCTCATGTGATCCGGTAAATTATTACTATAATATATGTCTATATTATAATAATACAAAAACGTTTAAGATGAAATTTCCACGCAGCCACCGCTCGTAGATAGGTGTATAGTAGGTAGTATATATAGTATAAACTATATAGAAAATTGTATATAGTATCTACTATAATATGTAGGTATACCTATATAGTTACCCGATTTAGTATTATTGTGTTAGAGCACGTATAATAATTGCTCGACCGAAGCGAAACAAATTGAATTCTCCTCGGAGGATCATGCGCGACTTCTTCCGGAAAATTTTAATCGATGTACAGTACCCATAAGTATATGTACATCCATACATAAATGGCCAATGCAACGAACACGAACACAGTTTTCAGTCCAAAAACTAAACAATTTATCGCCATGTGCCCATGTATTATGTATTTATGTGTGGCATACAAATATTAATATTATATATTATTATAAGTAATATTCATGGGCACTTGTTGTTTAATTTCATGTAATCGTAATCTATATGGTTTTAAATGGAAAATAAATTGTACCCAAACACGACATCGTAACATAAGCAAATATGAACAAAAAACTAAATACTGAAAATTAAAAACCCATACCTAATTAAAATAACGGATAGAATTTCTTTTCTATCTTTCTTTCTCTTTAAACATATTTTTTATTGTTACTATTATTATGGTTGAGGTAAGAACGACAACGTTTACGCTGATCCATGTTCTATGACCCACAAACTCGATCGTTCGATACGACCGTGATGCTATTGGATCTTATGATTTTACATGGCAAATTCGTTTTGGTTTTCTCGCACAAACTAAAAAGTGAAGTAATACGACTATTTAGAGCTTGAGTAGACTACATGATAATCATTGATTGATTTACAAAATTATTATAATATAACATATAGTAGGTATGTAATGGGTATGTATAATACATTAATGCCTATAACTATATAATATATAATATTATATACCTAAAATGTGAATAGGTTAGTTTTAATTTATTCAAATATCATAATATAACAATATAATATTCAAATGGTTAAAATTCTTGTGAAAGAAAGTAGCAAATATCAACAGATTATAAATGATAGCAAAAATTTTGGATTAAAAATATAGTTCTTTATATGATCCAGTATTTTTTCTGATGTAGTACTTTCGTTTTAAATATATGTATAATATTGTACTTATAAATTATATTATCTTATAATTACACCAGTTTTACAAGATTTCACTGTGTATGACATACCTATGTAAATAGTCGATAAATATAATATAATATAAATATATAATGTTATGTCGTATTTTGTTGGATAGTGTTAAATGTTGCTGCGGGCAAAGCGCCTATGCAAATCAGCTCAGAACCCGGCGGCCTACCTCAAAAAGCCATCGATGGTAGCACCAGTTCATTTTTCAGCCCCGAAACATGCACACTCACTAAACCGGAACGCACCCCATGGTGGTATGTTAATCTGTTGGAACCGTACATGGTGCAGTTGGTGAGACTGGATTTCGGTAAAGCCTGTTGTGGTAAGTATTTTAATTTAAAATTATTAGGTATACCATAACCAAATAACAATATTAAGAAAACGTTTTAGTTGATGGATTATTGTAATGCAACATTAAAAATCATAATACCAAAAGTTTTAAATAACTATGAGAAAGTGTTTGATAATAATTATAAAATAAAAATAATCAAGTCATAATATTATAAAAATAAATGAGAAATAAAATGGTATAAAATGGATTGGTTAATTAAAACCAGCGTACGCCAGTAATTGAGAGTATCTTGAGTGTACCAAGAATGCCCAACTTAACGAAAAAAACATAATTAATGAATTGTGTTTTTTCGTTAAGTTAGGTATTCTAATTCATTGTAATTTGATTTATTAATAGCACGATAACTCTATAAAAATAAATAACGACATTACAACTTTATTTATATATTTATATTTCCTTAGAGGTGAGACATACCAAAAAATATGCGTTAAAAATAATATGATAATGTTAATACCATTTTAAAAAAACTAGAACATAATTTAAAATATTATTCAACACATAGTGATTTTAACTTTGTGCGCATTTTCAATTTTGAACTTCACAAACAAACTAAAATTGAGCATTTGTTAATTTATTTTTAATTGATTGTAACATGGTTAATGTCTAATGGGGTGATTATACTAAGAACCTAAATATCGAAAAAAATAACTTAACATTGTTGAACTGATGAAATGGAATGTAAAATAATAATCGAAAACGGAAATCATTTATATGAATATGTATACAAGAAATTGGTATCAGACGCCAAAATATTTTTTCTAGCTATAACTATTTTATTATAACTATAGAATTAATTACATTCTTAAAACACATTTTTATACTTTTATAATACAAAACTAAAGGTATTTTTACTTGGTGAAATTTAAAACAAATATATTATAAAAAAGTATTTTTCGAACTCTATAATACTATTTATAATATATCTAATTTATTTAATTAGGTAGTTGGAGTAGGTACTATGGGTATTACTATGAAGTAGGTATAATTTATCGGCAAGTTCGAATTTACTAAGATTTAATTTTAATAAGTACCATATTAAAGTAATTAGTATATTCATGAAAAGTATACAATTATTTAACAAGAAATTACAAACTTTTATTTTAATAAAAAAAAATAAAGTTGTAAGTATATTTTGTTAATACATCGACATTGACCACAATATTATAAATAATACATAATTTAAACTAATGTAATCATTTATCAATTTGATATCGAGATGATTCATTGGTACTATTTCTTAGACATTGTATACTACAATATTTATAATCAATGCTAAAATGCATCAAGCATTTTCTTAAAAATTATCATTATGGATTTAATTTCAGAGTATAATTTTAGGTCATCTGCAATAAAATTATAAATGATTGGGAAAACTACATAATTTACCCTGCTATTAAAAGAAAAAAACCTAGATAAATGACTGTTGGTGCAATAAAACACCTACCTACCCACCTATTTACACAGATACCTCGTAAAAAGTTATGTAGGTAGTAACTCTGCTTAACCCATATTTAAAACATATTTTGATTTCTCTGATTTTAATAGTTTATATAGAGTTGTAGAACTGTGTTAAATATATAACTTAACTTTAAATAACAATACTTTCGAAATAATGGGTACTATCAGAAAATTTAATGATCTAAAGTGAGTAAAATGCATAATTTTAGAAAACATATTTCACGGAATCAGCATTGAATGTTATTAATCATTAATATGCAAATACAATTCTTAGTTATTTATTAACTTGATTTATCAGTTCATTGTTTATTCTTCATTTTGATTAATCATCGTATTGACTTTTTATTTTTTATTATGTTTTGTTAGCAGAGCTTCAAGCTTGCATACAAATAGGACAAATAGATTGCATCACAGAATGTCGTACCATATTCAGTTGGTCTTGCAAACATTTTTATTTTTATTTAGTTCAAAAATGTAGATAGACAATTTTAAGTTCTTATTTTTTGTTATAACTTCATACTAAACAAATGATGCAAAAAAGAAAATATAACGAACAATAAATTATGTTATGTTTGGGTTTCTTATGAAAAAGATAAATAAGTACACGATTGTTTTCACCTCAGGAGGAATTTCGTTACTACAAAAAAAAAGTTTGATAATCTAAATATAAATATTGTATTATGTTTGAGTTGTTTGTATTCATAGAGGTATTTTTGGTAAATTAGTTACAATGAATAAAACCAATTCATATTATCATTCAATATTCTATTAGCACGTGCGAAAAACGTGCACAAAAAACCGGTCAAAGAAAGTGGTACCCACTATAATACTAGTATTTTATATTAAAGTCACTGTCTAACTACCTATATTGTCGCCTGTGTATAATAAAACAATGTAAATACATTTGATTTTTGGAAAATAACTTTTCACATTGTCTGAAGATTTCCCAAGTAATAGGGCTTGTCATAATGACACGATAAACACTACTTATGATTGTTTACATAAAATCATATAAATAAAATCTAAGTGTTGCCTGTTAACTTATGTCGGCATTGATTACAGGTAAAAACAAACCTGCTACGATAGTCGTGCGAGTGGGAAACAACAGGCCCGACCTGGGCACAAATCCTATATGCAACCGATTCACTGGGTTTATTGATGAAGGAAAACCGTTGTTCCTTCCGTGCAATCCACCTATGCCAGGAGCATTCGTTAGTGTCCACATGGAAACCGCTAGTGGATCCACTCAGTTATCAATTTGTGAAGCGTTTGTCTATACCGATCAAGTAAGTTTATAAGACCTAAGGTTATTGTAATGTAAAAATAAAATATTTAGTTAATTTAATATATTAGTTTAACTAAACTTTTTAATTAATTCAAAATACTTTTAAAAATTAATTTTAAATGTACGTAGACTCATACTTAATATACTTACATATTATATAATACTTGATGTGTTACAGTTAAAGTCTTGAATTCATTATTCTATCATTTAACGTATTAATGTAGGTGGTTAAAAGTGCTTATGTATACAAAATGAAATGAATACTTCATCTAAAAAAATCATACAATAGATAGTTACCACACACAATTCGGTCTGCTGGTTATAAATTATTTAAGTCTTCACATTATAAATAACTTTAAAAAGGTAAAAATCATTATTATTAGATTATTGAAGTACAAATATCAAACATGATGATGTTACAAAATAAATATTAGATATTAAATTATAAGTAAAAGTAAACCATTATAAAACTTTACAACTTATAACTTATAACAATGTAACCGTCGCATGACAATACTAAGTATATCCCCTCAAACTCACTAATTTATGTCACTATATAAAATCAAAATTACTTATTGTTCTTATTTGTGTATACAATGCAATAATATTTTAATTGATAAAAAATAAGTTTGTAAAAAAACAACCTAACTAATCAATTTTTGTTTTATTTTACATTAATATTAGTAAACTGTATACGTATATCACTTATATAATTCAAATTAAATTTCAAAATAACAAAAAACAAGTTGGCTAAAATGATATTTTTTACAATTATAAAAATTATTTTATTTTAATTACAGTACATTTTTGTTATTTTAAAAATTAAATACTTTTATTTAAATTATAATTTACCTATATATATTTTTTTATTTATTATTATTGATATTGCAAGATTGATTCTGGTTGAAATTTGAATTGCACAATACAATATAATAGTATAATTGTTATAACATATTATACATAGATCAAGTAGTGGTACAATTAGTAATACATGTACATTTAAGTAAAATCTTCATATTCCCGATGCGTACAGACAAGCGACAATAATATGGGCACTGCAAAAAATATCGGTTTATTTTATTAGAGAGTATGAAGTGTCTAGGTATTTCAATTTCATGAGATTACAACATTTAGATTTAATACTTTAACATATAAATAAATGAATAGGCAGGTGCATGTTTAGAGATCAATTATAATTACATACAAATATAGGTAATATTAGAAATTATTATTATCAAAACACAATTTACCTGTATTTTAAAAAAAAAAATTCGAAACTAGTCACCTACCCTATGCAGAACAATGGTTATAAATTAATTTATTCATATTATTTCCAGGCGTTACCGATTGAGAGATGTCCGCAATTCAGAGATCAACCACCAGGAAGTACTGCTACGTATAACGGAAAGTGTTATATATTTTATAACCGGCAGCCAATGAACTTAAGAGACGCGTTAGGGTTTTGTAGATCAAGAGGTGGCACATTGGTTGATGAAAGTAACCCCGCGTTACAGGGATTCGTCAGCTGGGAGCTATGGAGAAGACATAGGCAAGTTAAAATATATTTAATAGGAATATGTATTTGAATAAAAACTCAATTTAATTAAAAACTAATACATATAGTAAATATATGGTGATTTACCAAACATACTAGCCATAGGCGTAGAATGATAGGGCTAATCCTCACAGAGTTCTGTTGAGCCCCTTCCAAAATTCGCAAGAAGTTCCGGCAGCGTCGGCGATAGACATAGTAAAAAATAGCCCCCCCCCCATATAAATTCATTACTCTAGCCTATGATACTAACCACAATTTTTTAATTAATAAGATTAATGCATTTTGAATTCTGATTTTTTAATACTCTTAAGATTAAAAGATTAATGTTTTTAACTGTTTATCATTTTTGATCCATTTAATAAGTGTCCTGTAGTGATACCAATGTTTTTATTTAAAATGAGAATCAACTCCAATTCCTGTAAATTGATAAGCACAAGGCTTTTTTAAGACGTAGATGTACATAAATTTAAATTTAAACGAGTAGTTTTTGAATTAATTAATCCTAAGTAATTCTTAGAGTATATATTTTAATAATTTAGAAACAACTAGTTCAAATATTGATTAAACATCAACATTTTTAAAAACATCATCTGATAAACCATTTACAGAAAAAATAGTAGCTCTAATTTGAAAAAAAGAAGTGTCTATAAGCATAGGACACTCTTCAAATGGTATAAAAATCTAAATAAATGACAATATGGTCTATATTACAGTCTCTATAGCATATTCAAAATTTCAATATCTGAAATTGAATAAATTCGTTCTTAGAGTAAAAAATGGAGGTGAGCATGGTTGGTGAATAATCATCTTGTATGCTGTATAATTACCAAACAATATACTTACTTTAATACATATACCTACCAATATCACAAATTAATAACCCTCTCTCTATTTTTACACCTAAGTCACTTGATTATGTTACTATTTTCAGGAGTGATTCACAAAGTCAATATTGGATGGGTGCCGTAAGGGACACTCACAACAACAAAAATTGGAAATGGTTAAATGGTGATGATCAAACAGTAACGTTCTGGAGTGTACCGTCAAGCGGTTCTGAAGCGACATCTGTAAATGGAGGCGATTGCGCACGATTTGATGGTTCCAAAGGCTGGTTATGGTCAGAAACTAATTGCAATGCTCCGCTAAATTTCATATGCCAACACCGTTAGTGTTAATTTATATTTAGTATTATTAAATAAATACCATGTACGAATAAATTGTAATTATTTTAGTTATAAAATATTTTTTTTATTTTTTCGCATAGAACCGACTGCTTGTGGTAGGCCAGAACAGCCTCCAAATTCAACAATGGTAGCTGAAAACTTCAATGTCGGCACCGCGGTTGAGTATTCTTGTGATGAGGGCCATCTGTTGATCGGACCGTCTACTCGTACGTGTCTCGGAACAGGGTTTTATAATGAATTTCCACCAGTATGTAAACGTAAGTTAAAAAAAATATTTTTAAATCTGTTAAGACTTAAAAGTTTTAACTGGTCCGTGCTTTTTTTACAGGAATTCAATGTGGTTTTCCTGCGGACATTTCAAACGGCAGCTATAAACTAATCAACGGTACTGTCAACTATTTAAGCCAGGTACAATATAGTTGCAATGAGGGACATAAAATGATTGGCAGAGATAGATTAATTTGTGATTTAGACGAAAGATGGGATGGACCACCTCCAAAATGTGCAGGTAGTGCAAATAATATTCTTATGCATTTTTAATTATTATTTAACTAATACAAATGTATTTTTTCTGTTAAGTCCAAAAATGTGAAGATCCTCCGGTAATTCCTAATGGCGAATATCAGATGTCAAACAATGAAAGTATTGTTGGAACACTAGTGGAGTACACTTGTGTGTCCAGACGATTCCGTTTGGTTGGACCTAAACAATTATTATGCTTACCAAGTGGTCAGTACGATAATAAGCCACCTTATTGCAAAGGTTAGTATTGCGGTTATTTATGGTACATTCTGTTCAGTTAATTGTATTCGATTATTAATTATACACCATATTGAACGTGAAATATTTGTTATTCAGAAGAAACCAAAACGCCGATTGTACCGGCCGTGTTAGTGACCAAGACTGTATCGACAAGTACTGTTCCTAGCAGCCGTGCGCCACCGACTCCTAATCGTGAAAAACCACGGCCGTTTACAACTAAACCAACTATATTGACGAAACCAGCTAACGATCAGGTATGTTAATTTACTATATTATGAAGTCTGCTACAAAGAAAAGTAGACGTATTCACTTTCTTTGGGTAACAAATTTGAAGCAAGCTCGATATACATAGTTTATCCGAGATTATTAGTTCAAATCTGAAAATTCGGTGCTTTATCAACCGGAAACTGAGCAAATGTTACTTTCTCTTCATTAGGACGATAGCGGCCAAACGTCATCCAATGTGGTAATCGCCTCGGCGCATCCGCAAGACAACGAGATTCCGGATAGCGTTCACGTCCGAACAAACCCGAATGCGGCCAACATACCGTCTCAGGTGGAAAGCGAACACCGGCTCGGCCCCAAACTGAATTTGGGTAATTTATACTTGATACATTTCGTAATCTTCAATAGTAGGTTACTATAATAACTTCGATTTTCGTTTGTGTTTGTGTAAAACAGGAGCAATAATCGCATTGGGTGTGTTCGGAGCATTCGTGTTCCTAGCAGCAGTTGTGACCACCATCGTCATACTCGTGAAAAGGTAACGTGATTTAACTACGCGGTGTGCTGCAGCAATGTAGGACTTAAGTTTAAAAAATGAAAAACAATTGTGCGCGTCTGAAATCCTTGTGTGTCTGTGCGACTAACAACAAAAATCGCTTGTCGGCTGCTATATGTGGGCTGTTTTGTTTTTGTTTACAGCAATAGGAACCACAAACTTCCGTCCGGTGCGAATAACATGCCGTCCCGATGGTATACACTACTGGCAATGCCGTTCCCCGACCAGCAAGTCGGACGGCGTCAGTTCTCTAGGGCGTATAGAAGCCGAGCTGGCTATTTCTCTAACCCGCTATGACAATAACCGCACACCGATAGACACATTATAATCTTAACGTGTACCCGTACCAAAACAAAACAAAACAAAAACAAACCGTATACCTACCAGAAACCCATAAGTCTAAGGTACGACTGATATGTATCACCACAACGTTTTCTAATCGCACTGCTATTGTTGTTATTACCGTCATTATTACTGTTGTTGTTGTTGTTGTTGTTGTTGTTGTTGTTGTTGTTGTTGTTGATGTTATTGTTGTAGTTGTTGCGTTGTTCTCGTCCGACTATCGTAACAATAATATTATTTTATGGCGCACCGTTTTGACGCACGACATGCTTCTGTTTTTCGCACGCTTTTATATTTTATATTATGGGTGGTAGCACGGTGTTATTAGAGTTTGAATGTTGGTGACCACGGATACCTTACTATTACTTACTCGTAATTAGGCGTGCGCACAGGACACTTTAATTCAGGTATAGCTAAAAACATGTGGTGGAAAAAGGGTTATCGAAGACCTTAGAATTAAATTATATTATATTCTAAAGAAAATTTAGGATTCCAAGTGAAATTCTCAACGAAAACACCGATCAAAAAATAAATCAAAATCAGTGCGCACGCTTATATTATGATGGGCATGTATTAGTCGTTTTGCCAAAAGTTTTTTTTTTCCATTACCGCCAAAATTTAAAAAGGTTCGATTGTCATTCATGTCAAAAATAATATTATAGGTATTATTTAATAGTTATTATATCGATTAAAATAAATTGCTTCAAAACGGAGAAGACATTAGGACATCCGCATACTTCAACTTGACTCTTTACATTTTATTAAATTAATAAAATACTTAACAGATGAATAATTATTAACTTTACCTACTATGATTTATGAATAAAATATCAATAAAAATGTTAATAGTTGTACAAGATAAAATTTTTGATTTTATAAAATAAATGTGTTGTACAAATATTACAAATCTTGTAAGCATCAAATGTCTTTATGAAAATAAATTTTGAAATAAAAAATATATAAACCACAATTTCTTTGTATGATTTCGGAAATATATTATATTAAGAGAATATAAGCGCTTAATTTGTTTTCGCTCTCCGACGTTCTCGAAATACAGCATATTAACGTTTAGCAGACAGAAATCTTGCGTTATTCCTATTGTAACTAATATGCCACGATTGTCATTGTATATAACTTGAGTGAATTCACTTATTATTAAACTTTAAGTTAAAAACATTTCCTGTGTCACTACGTTTGCTTTTTTACAATGTTTAAATTTTTGATGAAATTTTTGAACTATAATAATTTACACACTCATAACTTATATAAAAATTAAATTATGATAAAATAGCTAACTTAGTGACATAGGTAATATCCTTAACTTAAAGTTCGATGATAGGTTGATTCATTCAAATACTAAAAGTAACATCATAGACTGCCAACAGAGTATCAGTTCTACTGAACGTAAATTTGGTATGTTGCACATGATTCAGAGAGATCAAATAGTACGCTGATATATTCTTAATATAATATATTGGAGTGATTATTTGAAAGTTGGAAGTGCTAAGGAACCCCGCGATCCCCTACCCTAAAACGTGCACACATGGTTAAACTAATCACTGGGTAGGTACAGCTGATGGCGTGTACGCATACTACCAAATAATAATGTTTCTTTACGTCAAAATATTAATCAATAATGATCGATAGTTTTTTCGATTATTTTTGGCGGTAAACGAAAATCGAACCTTTTTGAAATAATAACTGCAAGTCGTCGCGTTTTCAGTAAACGCATAATCACTTCCACGATCACAATGCATAACGTACAATACCTACCTGCATATTAATATCTATCTTATTCGCATCCGCAGGAATCGCAGTGCCAAACATTTCCGGCACCGTGCGTCGCCAGACACCAACACGGTCGCCTCGCTGGACTCGTCCGGTTCCGAGAGCCGGGGAGGCCTGAACCGGTACTACAGGCAGGCGTGGGAGAACCTGCACCAGACGGCCGCGTCGCCTAAACACTCGCGGCCGCACCATCACCACCATCACCACCACGCTGGAGGTAGGCGCAAGGATACCGCGGCCGACGGGTCGCCACGCGTCGAGAGCATGCGCGACGGATCCGAGCTGGTCGTCAACGACGTGTACCACCCGCGGTCGACGGCGGCGGCGATGGACCACAATAAGAAATCGTCCAGGCATCACCACCACCATCACCATCACCAGAACAGGGCGGCCAACCGATATTGATGCGGGCCCTCGAACTGCATTAATTATTACGGGCGAGATATTTCGACGTCGCACACGACTTGTACTGCAGTATGATGATTAATAATATATTAATAGGTATAACTGCAGCAGCTGCTGACGTCGCGCGGTCATAGTAATATTATATTAATAATACACGTAAAGTTAAACGTTAGTTAGGTATATGCCTATTTTTATTATTACACACTAATTATTGTATACGGGCGGTTGATTCGCTTTCATCAGTGGAATCGCTCGTTGTTTCGAAAAAAGTTTTTGGGAAACTTAAGGTACTACATATAGGGATGCAATCGTATATTATATTATTATTTGTACAGTTTGTCGACTGAACCAGAACACTCAAGTAGGAAAAAGATTAATGTACCTACATTATCTACCAATATAGAATATTGTGAAGGAATTGTTTTGTACCTATTATTAATAAGCATTTAAAGTTTAGACGAGCGGAGTACAGGTATAGCGAACCACAAAATATGTCGCAGTATGTCCCCACCGAAGCCTCTAAACTTTAAATTCTTATCAATAAATAATGTTCAATTTGCGACCGTCTTCAGTTTTACCGGAATAAACATTTTCATACAAGTTCTTGTTTTTTTGTTATAATCAGTGTTTGTAGCTGTAAAAAAACCGCTACGAGTGCGTTAGCCACAATCCGATTCTGCATGTCATATATTGTCACATATACATTAATGGTTTCACATCCCTCATTTTCATAAATACCAAAGACTTAAATACTATTTTTATTTTTATCTTATTAAATATATGGACACAGAAAATAATAATACAACTGTCGATAAAATGTCGCCCTAGGAACAAGTTTCCTCGGATTATTTCTATTTTCTATTTGTTTTTCAATATAATAATTTTCGGGTGAGTGCTTTGATATTTGGTTGAAAAAAATTCATGTAAAAGATTAACTATGACAACTATCTGTTATAGTATCAATTAACAGTGATTTTAAACTATCATTGAAATTGGTTTCTAATAAATGTATTGTAGATTTAAACAGATATCAAAGTGTTGGTGATTGCTTTGTAAATACAAAATTTTACTTCAAATAAAATCACTATATACCAATTCAACCTCCCGAATGAACCAATTTATTATAATTTTATTTTTTAACTAATGACATTTTTACAATGACATACAGTTCATACCTTCCCTAATTTACGTAGTTCCAATTAGTTCACAAAAACAACAGTTAATTAAATTACATTTACATAGGTAGGTATTCATTAACTATAAAAAATGCATTTAGTAAACCTATAGATTCATTAAAAAACTCGAATCCATAGTATATGCATTTTTCTTTTTTTTTATTGTAGAAAATATTAAATAATTAAATAAACAATAATCTGTATATAAAATATTTTACTATACATTATAATTTATAATATAGACATTAGACATAAATGGAAAATGTAGCAATTAATAATTTTCGTAGAAAGTCTGATAAGTACCTATGTCCATTGTTTGACTTTTCTTTCTTCAAAATATTTTAATCTTGAGTCTTTATAATATTTGGATAAATAACCTTTTGGCTATTAAAAAATTGTATCACTTTATTTTTCTATTTGTCCATTTATATTATATTACAACATTATGCATAATATAAAAAGTTGATTCTCAAGCCTAAAAATTATTTCACTTGTAGAATGTAGAAATACAACTATTAATGACTGACAGTTAGAAAAATAAAGCTTTAAGTCAACCAAAAATTTAAAATCCTCATTTTTAGTCTCTTTTTATTTATAAGATATAAGATCTATTATATTATATTTGTCAGCATTGGACATACAAATATAAAATGATTTATCAATAATTTGTATTATTTTTAATGTTACCTTTTCTGACGTTGAAATATAAGTCAATCATTTTTAAGCTTAATTATTATTATTATTATACAATAATATTTATTATATATATATATTGTGAATTATTTATTTATTTATATAATATAACACTATATATTTTTTTTTTTTTTAATGAACTGTTTAACCACAGTATATTATAATATACCGTGGTTTTAACAAACACGTTCAAATTAGATTATATTATGATTACATGATGTGTTTCTATTTTTTATGTAGTTAGCAGAATTGTAAAAAATTGAAACATATTTTTACTGCCAAAGTTGATCGCGTTTATTGTTTATCTATATAAAAATATAATATTTTCATATTGTTTATCTTTAGACTAATTATTATTGAATTTTGTAAATATAGTAAACATAACCAAAGTATTATAATATATTTTGACTTATAAATTACCTGCGTATTTTATCCCTGCTAAATATATCTATTTTTACGAGTTTACTAACTTATATTTTAATTTAAAAGTTCAATTATGTGTCATTTCTGCCAACGTATATCAACAGTGTTATGATTTAATGACCTATAAAGTCAAGTCATATAAGTAATTGGACTAGTAATTGTTAAATTTATAAAGTGATAGATCAATAGATTTTAATGATAAACTTAATTTTTGATTGAATTAGTTCTGGGCCTTGGGCCCAAGTTACTTTTTGGTGAAGATGGAATCAAAGGCATCAGTTGCGCTGAACACGGAGCCCTGTACCAATACCTCTACTCTGTAGTATTTTTTAGGGGTAATGGGTGGTTGTTTATGGTGTAATAATTCACACATTTTCGCAATTTTTACGTACTTACAATTCTTTAAAACTTTAAATGCTTATGAGACAAACACAAAATCGAGCATTTGTATTTTTAATATATTTAAACTGCTATTATCAAAAAATATTAGGAGTCTTGTACTAAATTTTAACGCTTTTTGACCCAATAAATAAATTTTATTACATTTATAATAAAAAAAACTAAATAAATTGGAAACTGAAAATGTCCGTACCTAAACAGCTCAAAACAAGTCAAAATATTTTGAAAATTGTATGGAGTTTAGAAAATTCTAATATAAACATTCAGTGATAATTGCATGTATCTACGGCTATTTGTTTTAGAGTAACACCAAAAACCAAAATCGATTTTGTCAAAAACTGCTTTGTGTAAAAATTCTCGTTATTCCTTATCAACACTTAAACTTAAAACTAATGAGAATTTTAAATTTTGACCTCCCCCAATGTACCAACAAGATTTACTTTCCCATCGAACAAGATACTAAGGTTGAAAATAAAGCAATTTTTTAGACTACTTATAAGTATAGCTTATACACAAATTCGAAAAAAACACATAATTGTAAAATTTATAAATTCATCGCTCCACTCAGAATCTAAAAGTAACTATTAACTAGTATTTAAATATTGTTTGCACATATTTAATATTTGGTGAATAATAAATTATAACCAACAAATAATTTAATGAATTTATCAAATGCGATTATTGCGATAATATGAACAATATTGTGCCCGTGAAGTTGGCCCTTAAACTATGTTCAACTATTTCATTGAGTATTGACGCCACTGTACGTCCTTATAATATATATTAGGTAAAGAATAAAAGTTATGTATAACTTTCATATATTGTAATATGAATACATAATATAACAACAAAATATATGTTAAACACTAAATTAATAGTTTCAAATAACTTCGAACATTGGATTTCGAAAATTTAACAGTTAAAAATTAAAATTGTGTCTTGTGACTTATCAGTTATGAGGATATTTCTATTAATTAAACCGAAGTGTAATTTTAAGTACCTGCTTAGACATAGGTTTTAATTATAATTATCCTACGGCCGGGGGCAGGAAAAATGATGACGGCGAACGGCGCGCGTTTGTATTATTTGATCTCTCGTATTTTATTCATTTTGTGCTCAGAAATAAAATAAGTGGGTAAACTAATTGGGTAGCATATTTTTCGTAACATTAAATATTTAACCAAAACAGAATATTATTCAGAATGTTTAAAACTAAAAGATGCATAACACAGAACTCTGCGTATAGGCATTTAGCTATATATGAGAACAGATCACCACAAGGTAATTACTAATAAATAGTAATATGTAATCCTCTGATCATTTAATGATGAATTTAATAATTGTTACACTAATGGGATTATAAGTTAGAATACACTGTATTTCCACATTCTACAACTATCTACATTATTTCATATTTTATTTTATGTTTTTAATTTTTAAAATGCGTTTTTCCCCCTGTGACCCTAGACACCTTGTAGGTATAATAAAATTGAAACCAGTAATACCTGACTGTTAAGTTAAATTATTTACACGATTTCAAATATGAAAGATTTAAAAAGTATAACTGTATGTCTGTATAAGTATATAATATATACACATATCAACATAATATGTATAAACTAATGATGTTTTTTTATGAACTATATATAATTTATAACTATTCATCATTGAATACAGTGCGTATATTTTTCGAAAGAACGTAAAAAAACATGAATACCTAATTCCTATTTTATATCACACGGGTTGATCTAGAAACTGATACGACGAAACCTGTGAAATTTTTTTAATCATAATTGGCTTCTGAAAACGTCTATAAAAGAGTGCGTTTTAAGAGTGTGAGTCAACATAGAAATCAATTTGTATCGAAGTCATTATATTATTATAATAAAATAGTTAAAATAACTGTATCAAAATACCTAAATTTAAAATATTCAATACCTACCTATATGTAGGGTAATAAGGACGCTAAAATAGGTGTAAGTAGAAATAAATATTATGTGCATACCTACTATTAAACGTATTAGTGTATAAAAAAATGTAAAGGTCAATTTAAATAATTCACAAAAACCTAAGGTTTAACCTGGCGTATCGTATAGGCCAAATAAACACACGTATAAAACTTCGCGTAGTGAAACAAAGACGGCGTTTGGATTGTTCGAGCTCGGGTATTTTATACATTGGCGCTTTTGGGAGAAAGAATATGTTTTTGCGTTACCAAATTAACAGATTTTCAGTGGCAATAAATATTTAATTTAAGTCTAAAAACTAAATTTAAGCCCCAATATAATATGAAAATAAACTCACGTGTAGAGTGTGTAGACATCGAGACTCTTTCGGTTAAACCTGGCCGGCTGGCCGTGCCACGGCTTAAGTGTAGTCACTAGTCGTGCAGTAATCCACCGTCGAAGAAACAGCAATATTCGCCCGTCTCCACTCTTCATTTGTAGAAGATCTTAGCTCGTGGTACCTACCTATATATTATAGTCAATGGTAGTGTGGTACCTACAATATTATAGTATCGGAATTTTTTCCTTCTTCTGTTTAGGTACCTTCTGAGTGTGCCACGTTCGCGGTTCGCCTTTACTTTTTATTTTTATTGAACTACCTAAGTTAATTTTTGCCTATACATTTCTTTACTTCGACAACCTAGTATTCACTAATTGTTTTGAATGGAATTGTGGCTTTAGTTGACTCCAACTTAAGTTAGAGTAGAAGTTAGAAATTAGTTTTTTTTTAAGTTTAAAATAAAAATGTTTAATCCGTTTGCTCGAAATATGTTAAGTATTACATAAAAAAATTACTCAGCGTCTCGTTATCCAACTTAAATATATTGGTCACCTAACTGATAATTTGATCAAATGTCTCAACTTTTAAGTAGGCGTGTAATAACTAATAACTCCTATTTCTTGGAATACTTATCAGTCATTAAAATACAGGATGTATAACAGAATTAAAAATATAAAAATTAAAAACAGTATGGTACTATATGTGTATAACATTATATAGTATTGGCCATTATAATTATCATAAGCATTGTGGTTGACGTAATAACGTGTATTTTAAAAAATAGAGGTATTGTGTAACTAATAATTTAAAGAAATAAGAAATAATATGACACAAATTTTTTTAACATAAAATTGAAAATACTCAATATTTATTATTAATAAACTATGATCATCGCTGTAGTCTAAAGATACTAATAGTTAACACTAATCAATTCTAAGGAACGTTTGGATTTTTAGAATGTAAAAAAACTACGAAAACTAGTTACTCGTTGTTTTTAACGAGTTGGATTAGATTATTTTACACATTAAATTAAATTAATAATGAATTTAAACTAACTAATTAGTGCCCAGATTTGCTTGTAAGTAATAAATATACGGTTATTGATGAATTTGTTTCAAAAAGTATAGTTTTATCTTAAGCTTTAAAACAGGGGTCTCAACCTTTTTGGACTCCCTTATAATATCAAAATATCATCTTATTTATTAACTTAGTGACTTAGCAGAGTTCAATTGAAATTTTTTAGGGGCGCTTGGTGCTTTACAATATTTTTCGCCCAAATAATTTATTATCTATTTCGAGGCCACTCTATAGGGCATAACACATACAGTTTTATGGCCTTAATCCCATTTTCACCAATAAGTGACTTTGGCCTGACTTGACCCAAGGGCAATAGTACTACCCAAGGCAAATTATAGCAATTTACAAATGTGCAAATGAATAAATCTTACCATAGGTAATCTGATATCTCTATGATACTTTTATATTATTAATGCATTTGCATATAATTATTATAATGCAAATTATTTGTGATTATTAAAATCATTAACTAGATAAATAAAATAATTCTAATAAGAAAGTTAACATATTTTAGAAATGATAACCTTTTCACATTTTCCATCACTTAGATTTCATTAATCAGCTGGTAAAAATTATTAATTTTACTAGTAAAAGATTCAATACTACAAATACAAAATAGAGTTATGCTCTGAGACAAATTATTAGTATCAACTTATAATTAAAACATTTTATTTTACATTAAAAATATATCTCAAAATAAATAATGGAACATTAAACAATAAAAATTACAAAAATTATTTTTTTAAATTAGAAATGATTTGTTTTTGTGCAATTTTACAAACGGCATTAAAATTTTTTTTAATATGAATACGCCAAAACGGAGATCTTCCCCAAACATAAGCTGGAAAGTTAGGACTTTCAACACCATGAAATATTCTAGCTACAGACCGAGCAGTAAATTTACAATCAATGTAACTATTGAATATACGGTTAACATCAGATGCTATTCGGGTTTCATCTGTTTCATTTAAAACTATTTCGTCCTAAAAAATAACATTTAATTAAAGTAAATTAATGCATTTAGCTATAAGATTAAATTACATACAAGTGGTTTCTGAATAAGCATTGATAAATTGTCAACGGTAAAATATTCTCTAACAGAACTTTTTAATTTTTCACATAATTCTATATTTATCTCATCACAACACTCGATAGAAGTAGATGTTGAAGACCTAGACAAAAATAAATCGATAAAGACAGCAAATATTATTAAAAGTAACAATTTAATATCAACTAAATACCTCATAAATGTATCAAAACAATTTTGTAATTCAGAGAGTGATTTAGTTTCTTGTTGATGTGATATACTAAATAAATTGCAAAGAGTTGAATCTAATTGTTCTGCATCCATATTGCCAGGGGCTAATACTCTAAAGCCTAGACAAGAAAATTCAACTGTCACTCCACTTTTATGAAATTTTCCATTGGCTACAAAAATAAATAAAATAGTCAATACATTAAATATTTAATAACATAATTTTATAAGACAAATGTCAAACACTTGGTATATAACTTTGGTAGGGACAAAAGCTATAAAGAGGTGATAAATCTAGAACCAGTAACGGAGGAGGAGGGGTTATATATTTGATTTCACCTTAATTAGGTACATAAGACCACTGGGTGCCGAGCCTAACTAAAAGCTGTTGTTAAAACAAGAACTGTAATTTAATGGGTACTAGTGTTGCCATGCCTCGCAATAAATAATAGTTGTGGACATAGGCCCCAAAATGAAAAGATGCTCCATCCCTCATTATAAAATAGTGTGTAAAGCCTATAGGCTATAACCGTTCATTCTTAATTAAAGTGATATGTCCTATTTACATTTGCATTACTGTCAAAACACAGACCACAGCAATTTATTTATAGTTTAAAGTGAGTAAGAAAATCAGAATTCAACATAAAACAGTCAGAGAATTGGTTAATCTGTTGTACCAAAAAACCCTAAAACCGGTTCAAATACATCTGAATTATCATGGACTATACGAAAAAACATACTGACACGTCTTATTCTATGCACAAATCGTCTGTTGTTTCATTCATAATATAATCCATTGATTTATTAAATGTATTCGTCATAAAAAACTTTTTTGAAATAAATTAATGTAATTTAAATAAATTTTTTAAAGAAAATTATGAGTTATTAACAAAATTTGATAAAAATTTTTATGGAGTGTTCAGCACCCCAGACAAATTTCAATAGGTGCTTGAGCAACTGGGCACCCATCTGTATGGCACCTATGGCTGTGGATAGATAGTACCTCGTGTAAAATGTATTTATTTGACAAAAACATTTTTTATAAAATTTGGTGCTACTGTATAAGACAAATTAAAACTTACTGTTTGACCATTCCAAGTTTTTTAGTTCTTTTTTCACAATACCACTGTCCCATCCTATAGCTGAAGCTACTTTAAAAATTGAAAACTCAAGTTGGTTTGATGGTTTTCCAGAAGTTCCTTTCAAGGCATAAGCAACAGCAAGAGGTGGGCACTAAATATATTTATGTAATAATTTTAATATTAATATTTAATGGTAGGTATTTTAATGAAAATTTTACTTACAGTTTTCGATAAATTTTTCAAAAATAGTGGTCCTTTATAACTTGTTATTTTACAACGAATATAAGACAATGGCAAATTTTTTACCAATTTCTTAGTATTTAGTTCAAGGTAACACAAAAGTGTTTGAATATTTTCTTGTTTCATATCTAAAATGGAAACAGTATCTTCTACTTCAAAGACCACTTCATGTTTAGTGCATTCTTTTTCTTTACATTTACACTTAACAAACACTCTTTCAAGTAATTTTCGAATGGACGCACGATCAACAGAATTTGAGTATATATGTCGACTTAGTTCAGCAATATCATTCCCCTTAAATAATATTAATATATAATAATATATTTTATAATATTACAAAACTATAAATACAAGGCACAACTAAAAAAACTTTTACTTCAGATTCCAAAAACAGGTGACAATGTGCCACATTTCCATCACGCCCAGCACGACCAATTTCTTGCACATAACTTTCTAGACTTTTAGCCATATTATAATGTATAATACCCTGCAGATCAGCCTTATTTATTCCCATGCCAAAAGCAACAGTAGCAACAACAATTTTAAGTTGACCTACAAATTAATAATATTAATTTTATAATTTGTTTACAAGTTAATATCTAATTTTCATTACCATCCATAAAATACTTTTGTGTACGTTTCCTCTTGGCTGCAGTTAATCCTGCATGATATGGCTCAGCAATTTGTGACAACTGACCCCGTTTACCATTAGAAATATGTTGTGACTAAATAAGACACATATAAAACACAATTTCCTATAAATAATCACTAAAAAATTATAAATGTATAAATAAAGAATTACCTGAAAAGTAGTTCTAATAAATGAAGCAATTCGTTCACATTCTTCCCGCCTAATACAATAAACAATTATTGAGCTACAATTTTTAAACCGATTTCCATTCAATAGGTTAATTAAGGCTTTATCACGATCTTTATCTCTCGAAACACTCAACATGAGATTATCGGGTAAAGGAGTATCTTTAATAATTGAATTTGGATCATCGTCCAACATCAATTCACTAGCAATACTTGAAACAGTTGAAATAGTTGCAGTCGCAGTTAAACCCAAAAAAGTTTTAACACCAAATTTTTCTCTTAAAACCTAAAATAGAAATGTTAACAATAACCTTTAAAATATAATTTAAATTATATATCTATAGTACTTGACAAATCATGAGATATGATGGTCTAAAATTATGAGACCATTGAGAAAGACAATGGGCTTCATCTAGACAGACAAATGCAATAGGAGGAAGTTTTGATAACCAATCTGTATTAAAGCCAGAAACAACAGCCTCAGGTGATAGTAAAAGTATGGATAACTCTCCATTAGTTAGTTTTTCCATAATAATGTCCCTTTCTTTTGGTGTTTGATTATTATGCAAACATGCTATATTTACTGCGCTTATTCCACCAACCTTAAACAAGTTTTTACATTTAAAAAAATTATTAACTTAAAAATGTATTTGATTAAAAATTACTTGATCTTCCATCAATGATATGAGTGGAGAAATGACTAATGTGATACATTTGTATTTTTTACTAAACAGATATGCTGGTAATTGGTAACACAATGATTTCCCAGAACCTGTTGATAATGTGACTAGAGTTGAAAGACCAGAAAGAACTCTCATTATTGCTTTTTCTTGACCTGGTCGAAATTCGGTATGACCAAACAATTTTAAGGCTTTGAATACTTCATCTGGGGTGTCTGATATTATTTAACAAAAGAACATTATATGAAAGGAACGAAGATCTATAATTGTATATAAAAATACATACCAATAATATAATTATTATCCTGAAGTTGATATACAGGAGGAATATTTTCTGACTTGACATCATCTAATATTGGAAGATACTCCATTGAATTGTTCTAAAAAAAATGTGTTATTATAAGTATACAAAGTTTAAATTTGTATTTCATTTTAAAATTTTAAATAATTCAAATACTTGATCTTTTGATTCCCGGGCCCATTTCTTACAATGAGCTTTTTCTTTTTTTTCAAGAGCTAATTGTTCAGCTTCTTCAAGAGTAAGAAATGGACTATCTTCTTCACCAATATCTTCCAAAGGAATTAATTCATTACCTATAAAATAAAATAATAATACAATTTTATACTTAAAGATAATACACATTACCTTAAACTAATATCAACACTTACTTTTAATACAATTCTTAGAATAGTGCCCAATATCGCCACATTTAAAACATTTTAATAATGTTGTCCGATCTGTGGCTGAAAAATCTCCACCTAGTTCCTTCTTTCTATTTTTCCACTGTTTTTTTTTGTAAGTAGTTGTTTTAACTGATCGTTTGCCACGACTATAAACTTTTCTTTTCATATCTAATTTTACAAAGTTTTCACTAGCTTTACCACTAGAAATTTTTGCTTCCAACAATACTTTTTTTCGACTATCTTTAGTAGATAACTGAACACTATCATGATCATGAGTTTTTAATACTTTTGACTGTACTGCACATTCTTCAAATTCTTCATCAGAATTGTAACGTTTTTTAGAGCTTCTTGAAATGTCATTATCCTCTACTTTAGTTTCTTGATTAAAACTATTTTGACTGTCACTAAATTCTTGAGCTTTAATTCTTTGAGATGAATATAGTGGAATATCTTGAGTTTCATTATCACTTTCATAGACAACATCTGTATCACTTTCAATTTCTTTTATATGTTGTAAATCGGGCTCAATAATGTTTGAATTAGTTATTTTAGAATTATTTTCATTACATCTTTCCAACCAACCTTCATCTAATTTTCGATTTACTGTCTTCATTTTTGGAGATGAATCAAAACTATTATTTGATTTTTGCAGTAAGCTTAGAGGCTGTGGTATATAACTAGAGATATTAGAAATTTGAACTGTACTGTTTATTAATACATTAGAATCTGCAGCGACAACAGATAAATTAGAATCGTCATGAAATGCGCTGTCCTCCTGTGTGTTAGAATCATTAGATGTGATGTTGGTAATACAGTCCGATACATTTTGAGAACAATCAAGTTCACTAGTTTTCTTTTTTACAATACTTTTTCGAGGATTTCTTTTCTTAAAATCGCAACCATCAAATAATTTCTTTGAAAATTTTACAGAAATATTATTTTCAATGGTTTTAACTTTAGTTGTTATATCAGACTTAGGCTTATTATTCAAATGTTTACCCCAAACCGATGGCTTATTAATATCAACAGGTGGGTCATCATTGATTGATTTATTTGCTTCTGTCTGATCATTAATATTGCTGAGAAATAATGTTTCGTTAATTGTGGAATCATTTGCATCATCTACTTCACCAATCAGAGTTTTCTCAAGTAAAGAAGTTTTAATTTGCCAGTACATTTTGTAAGCATATCGCACTTTTTGTTCTGCTAACTTTATATCGTCCTGAAATGAAAAAAAAAAACGTTTAAATTATAACTAATTGTATTGGTAATAATTAGGTATAACATTTGTATAATGTAATTGATATAAATACCTTTTTAGGATTGCGACTGTTGCTTTTGATAAATTCATTTTCCCATTTCTTCACAATAAACTTGTACTTTAAATACGGATCGCTAATTTCCATTCTCGAAAGATGTATTAACTTTTAAAAAATGTTGTGTATCGTGTATTTTTAAATTGCATGAATTGTAAATAGTAATTAGTAAGTCTAAAATCTAAATATTAAATAACTAATATGATATTCAGAGTTGTTACTTTGTCAGTTTTTTTGAGTTTTGAAAGGCGCAGTATGCCAGTATGACCAAATTTTGAATATTGATAAGGTAACGCATTATCGTAGGACATGTTTATCGCTTATCAACAATTGTCAACCACGGTTTTAGAACTTTCAAGGTTCTGCGATTTTAGATTGTCTATCACAAGAATACAATCGTACAGACATAAACAGATTAACGGAATGTAAAAAACATAAGTTGTAGAGCCGTCAAGTTGAGCCGTTGAGGGTTCTGTGTCTGTCCAGTCTGAACAATTCGTCAATAATTGTCGATTTTGACTTACTCGATTATCGTAACCACGGACTAAATTACTAAAATAGTAATATATTGGTTAGTAAATAGTAACATTCACTAAGATATCTTAGTTCATGGTTAATAGCATATCTTAATTTTTTTTGGAACATGTACTTCGACTATATAGTAGATTTTGGAAGAATGGCACAAAAAAAATTTGCTCAAATCATTATTTTGGAAGTTATGTCCTTCCAATGTTTGCAGATTTACTTTTTTATTCGTACACACTATGCTGTACTTAACTGCTACTCGCCACACATGTTGCAAGTTTTTGATTTTTGTTAATCCACAATCCTTAATAAGTATTATGGTGAAATCGCAATTGATCTTAATTCAACTCAGAATTAATAATTTGGAACTATTTTTATTATTAATCTGTTGGTACAGTTTTATATTGTGAATGTTTTTTTATATATTAATAAAAAGACTGGCCTTCCATTTAACATCCTCAATACTGCATCCTAAGCTATAACCCCTTTAGTCCCTAGTGCTAGTCTGGAACTAATAGCTTATGAGTTATGATTAACATTTAACATATTACATACTATTTGTTTTATCATTTGTACTCAAATACTTGATGCTTATATAAATAACCTGTCTCATACCTAGGCAAGAAACAAGATTTTATTTTTTAATAAATATTACATCAATATATTTTTCTAATACTTAATAAATATAATCTAATACAGTAATACATTACCTATACCATTAAATAATATTTTGAAAAAATTATAAAAAGTTTAGCATCATTGATATATGACATGGTACTATTAAGTATATTTTGTATTCATGGACATGGCTGTAAAATTTAGATCGATACGCCACGGGACCGTGGCCAATGGGTATTATAATTTCTGATACATCAATCAATTAAGGTGAATAAACTCAGTGTTATATACTGAGATTAATACACTCAAGTTAACCACGATTGTTATAACATGCATTACAAAAAAATAATATACTGATGTCCGATAACATAGTCATAGTGGCATAGAAGTTCTGGTTAACAGTCGGTCGTACATTACACACCACCAAATATTTACCAGGTAGACAACATTACACATTACTTATAGCCATGTATACACATTCTAATGGTTAACATTTTATTTTTATTTGCCAATACTCTAGAACTTGAAAGGTATTGATTTAAAGATCCTGTTGTAATTGTGGACGTATTTTATGTATTTGTACAACAAACACTGATGTTCCTCACTAGAAATAGAGCTCTGCGTCCCATCTGTGGTAGTAAAAAAATTGAGCAGTCTGGTTGTAATTTAATAATATTTGATATAACACCAGAATTGTATGTCAATATAAATATGTTTAATGTCCTTGAATATATACACAAGGTGTACAAATGTGCAGCCTTAACAAATATGCACTACTAAATTATACATACTTGACACGATTTGATGATCAGTCAGTACAAAAACATAGTCATTACTCATTATTATTATTACATTAAATTAATACTTTCAAATTATATTTGAATTTGATATAAAAGCTTTTGAATTAACTTAGCACGGAAAACAAGATATATTATGATGATGAATGGGACACATTTGAAATATAACAATAGTCATATTATTAGATAGGTAATGATAATAATCAATAATAAATACAAATAAAAATCTTGATTTATAATTCTAATAATAATAATAAGTATTCATTTTATACAGTTTAATTTAATACTATTGTTATAAGTCTTAAAGACACATTAAAAAGAGGGGGCTATACTTCAAATTAAAATATTAAAAATAAAATGGAAAATCAATGAAATGGTACACATAGGAATAGGTACAAAAAGATAAAAATGAATAATAATAATACAACTATTAGAATTAAGCACTTTTAAAATTTAACATAAAGCAGGTACAAAATTGGTAAATAAGGGTATAAAACTAGGAATTTCAATAAGGTGTAGCCCACTCCAGTATGTACATCATAGTGAAGAAACAGAAACTTGTGTGCCAATCACGTTTTCCTAGAAAACGGCCAATGCGATCGTCGTTGGGTTCCACTACTGCTCACAGTCGATGATGATGATGAGGATGAGGATGAGTTTGAGCGTAGATTATGAGACATAGAACCGGTAGATGAACATGAGCTAAGACTGGTAGTAGAGACTTGGCCTCCATTGGAAAACATATCCATTACAGTAGGCCTGTTCTTATCGCGGCTGTTCTTGTCAAAAGATTCTAAACATAGAAGATTGAATAATTTTACTAAGTAATTTAAGAATAATAAAATCATAAAATGTCTAGTTATGGGTATATCAAACATGTTATTTGATTTGATTTTTTTTCTTTTATATGGCATAAATTGGTGAAAATGAAACAAAACTAAGTTAATAAAATATAATAAAAATGATTTCATCAAATTCCACTATATAGGGGTTTTAATGTATAAAAGATGGGTAAATTGAACAAATTTTGTATTTTTAAAATCAAATTAATGAATAAATTTATTAGTAGGTATTGACAATATCACGACAATTTTAAATTATAAATATTAGATTAAACATTTATACTAATTTCATTACCTACAGAAGAAATATGTATATAAGTCAATGTAAATGTGTTCTATTTACTCTATAAATTACAAAAAGTAATAAATAGAAATTATATTAAATTTGTAGGGTTAGTTTACCAAAAAGTGGAGTTTCATCATAGAGTGATCCTTGTCGCTCTGGCTTGACAAATGAATGCCTGTTAGTTTCTAACAACTGTACTTCCATGACACTTTCAGCTGCTTTTTTCCATCTAAGAAAAATAATACATTAAATTTAAAGATCATATCATGGCTGTCTGAATACACCTTACTTGTAATGTTCTTTGGTATGTTGAACTAAATATTTTAGCCAATTGCCCTTCTCTTCCCCATTTTTTACTGAAAATATAAACGATACAGTTCGCTTTTCAGATTCGTTGGATATTTCAATTTCATTATTGATCTTTAGCGCTCGAATTACTGTATTCTAGACAAAACAAAACAAAATATTTATAATACAGAATCAGTATACACTTTTCATTTATTGTTGGGCAAAAAACCTATGATTACTGTATGTAAGGATGATATGATACTTTTTTTAATTCAGTGCGTGTGAACACTAAAAACAAAAGTACACTATTTGGGTACAAAGCCCTGCTTTAATGTTGACTAATGTTATCTTTATACACTTTATTTATTGGTCAATCATAGAGGTTTTTGACTTTTTAACCAACAATTAAATATAATTTGTTCACATTGATTAATGTGTTATACCCTATCAACGCGAAATGTTTTCTGGGGTGGCTGAGATTTTGCTTCTTCTTCTGTTGACCATACAGAGAGTTCAAATGCTTGGAGTCTGGCCCATAAGAAAGACGATTCATCTCGTGGCCACACACACCCCGAATATACCGGGGACGAAATACACTGGGGTTGTGCAGCCAACCGACAGCAAAAATGACCAAATAGAGGTAACTGATTATTACGGTTTTCTGCTGATATAAAATCATAAAATCATTGTTAGTCATCAAAATTATAATACAAATTGTCAGAAAAATTATATTAGGTATATTGTTTTATTTTACTTACGAGTGCTCTCGATTTTCATATCATGAGTATGAACTCTGTCATCCACTTCTTCTAAAGTCAGTTTGGCTGATGCCATTAATTCAAAATTAGGTCCACTGAAAAAGCGTTATAATGCGAATTTATAGATTGCTGATTCAAAAATAAAACGCGTGCATAAAATGTACATGTCGAAACTTACATTTTGCCGCTATTAAGTTCGTCTCTTAAAGTGGCGGCCAACTTTTTACCAACAGTGCGGCTTATGGAACTGTGCAACGTGTTCTTGATTTTCCTAGGCGTGCTCGCAATCGAAAAATCGTCGCGCAGTACATGTGCGTATACTTCTAAGTCGAGTTTGAAATCCGGCCCGACGTTTTCGCTGTAACGGTAAATACATGAAAATAAAAATTTGAACATTTTTCAGGGACTTTAAAACTCGTGACTTACAAGAGCAATACGTCGTTAAACGTAACGTCGGTCATGGATCTATCAACCGGGAACATAAGGCTGGTGTCGTACAGTTGCGTACCGACTTTAGCCAAACAGAACACTGCAAATCGCCGGTAGTCGCCTTTATTCTTGAAATGGTCCGTGTCCCGCCACATCAGAGGGAGTCGTAAGTCCGAAAGTGACACCCGAGCCTTGCCACCGTTCCATCCGATCCTATAGTACAAAAAAAAAATACAGACGACCGTTCAGTTGTGTACCTACGATAACCTGGTCGATGTTAAAATAATATATGATTTGCCAATACTCACTGTGGGGGTTCTCGGCTTTTCCGGTGCAATTCGGCGATGTAAGCGGTCATCCTTTCGTTAGACGTCAACAAGCTCTTGGCGGCTTGCAACGATTGCGTTTGATGTTTGCAGGCGGCAAGGAGTCGTGTAGTGCCCTCACGCATTTTCATCTCGAATTCCATTTTTTGTTCCAATTCGTAGTCCTGTTTGAAGTAACAAAAATAAATCACATAAATTAATGTACAAGGAGAAAAAAAATAAACGAACGCGTACAATGAACCTAACAAAATATAATAAGGAGCAATAATCGACGCTACACGTCGATAACGAAACATAATATTTCATTCTCCAACTACCTCTGCAATATGAGTTCCGGGCTAAGGAAAGTTTCTATATAGTCATAACTCATAAGACATAACCCAAATACGAGTACATCGCACACGGTTATAGTTTAAATGTACTATAAAAAAATAATAAAAAACTACGTATCTAAAGATTTGTGTCAAGCCAATTTTTAAATAACGTTTTTATGTCACCATAAATAAACACAATCACAGTAACACTATACGAGTTTTAATAGGTTGTAAACGAATAAAAAGAAACACGAATAGCGTGTGCAAAAAATTCAATTTCTGAATTTCCCAGGTTCGATTGAAAAAAATGTATAACTTGCTTTTAATGATTTGTACGTGATGTTTTTAGCATACCTGCTTCAAGTAAATAAAATAAAAGTTGTAAAACGCTCATATTTCGTAAATTCAAGAAAAAACACATGTTATTAATTATCCTTAAAATGGAAGTATGGGTAGTACGTTTCCGAGTAGGTAGCAATACGAAATCCAATCACAATGGCCATTGATATAATATTAATTTATTATGTAAGTATCTTAGTTTATATGTTGCATGAAATATATGACGTCGGCTGGTTTGCCACACAACATATCACTATACGCAATGTTCGTAAGTAGAAATAATAATATATAATGTGTTCGTTAAAGGTCAAAGGATATATAGTTGCACACTGCAACGAACTGTCGAGGATAAATTCAACTAGATATTTTCGTACATATAGAACGAAAAGGTCAGAGTAGGAAGTTAGCTGTTATAATAGTTGATACTAAAGGCTATTTCAATATACGTAACTTAAAATATTATACTTATATTACATAGATATGTAACCAATTCAGGTCATACGTGTATAACAAATAATCACTTCTAATGGCCACTACTGTGTAGGGTAAACTAAAAAATTAGTATATAACATATAACAACACACACGTCATAGCAAACATATTGGAAACAATTTTATTGTAAAAATATGCAGTTTTAACAGTGTGAAATTAAATGTATATGGTCTAATGGTCTATAATTTAAGCATAAAATGGCATACAATTAAGTACCTTGTTATTAAAAGGAAACTAATAGTTTATAATGACCTAATATTTTTATTAGGGACATAAATACTGTTTATAATACCTAAGTAATAAGTATACCTAGTAATAATCAGGTTATAACACTTACAAGTCAATAAATTATTTCTACAGTTATTATTATTTTTTCTTTTGTGTACTAGATATATATTTTCAAAATTTGATACATAGAAAAGATTTTTTTTATTCTAAGACATTCTGTCTTAATTTTTTAAAAATGATTGATTAACAAAATACCAATAGCAAAAATAGTGCATATTTTTAATTGACATTTACAAACTCTATAATACACAACGGATTTTAAACAATTTTAATTTATAATTAAAATTGGGAAGATACATTAATTAATATCCCACTGATAAAAATGTACAATAAATATTATAATATATAGATAAAACCTAAAAACAATATTCCCGTATTTTATCTTTCCGAGCATAGAGAACATCCCGTAAGGCCGTAAGAATAGGGTGGTCCAAGAATAAGAAGGATATACGGTTACAGGAAGTTTAAGCACCGACACCAATATCCTGTATCGCCTAGGCACGTGTCTACAATAACATCTGTGAGCTCTTTGTATGTAGGTACGCAGATGATTAAAACTCAAAACACGTGTGGCACCACGACTCTGCTTGAAAAAAATAGAAGGGTGGCATTTTATATACTATACACAGTTTAATCCACTCAGAAGTGTAATGAGAAAAAAAACCTTATACGTTTTAACTTTTTATTCCTTATTTTTTATATGGATAAAGAGCGACAAGCAATAAATTATTTAAAAAGATCTAGCTCAGTGCTGTTGTCTCCCAAGTATACATTTTAGAAAAAACAGTTTTTCACATTTATGATTTTATGACTGGACGCTAGTTAGTTTGTATCTTATACAAATTATTATACTAAGGAGAACTAATCTTAATAAAATAACTGACACATTTATAATATACGAATATAAAAGAACAGAAAAACGTCAAATTACTTTAAACTAGTTATAATTGGCAAACTAAATAGTTGCTAACTGCAGCAATTGGTGAATTGTGTTTGTGTCACGATCATCTAAATAGTGTTTTTATGTAGGTTCGACATCAAATCCGTTTTCAGATCGTTAATTTATTAAAATTATTATTTTTTAAAGATTTAATACCTACCAGAACCTATGATATGGAATTATAAAAAATATTTTGATTAGCTCAGATTTATTTTTCGTTTGTTATTCAAACAACAATATAAAATTTAGTTTATCTATATAAAGATAATAGATAATAAATAGCTAAAAAATAATAAATAATACTAATAATAGATTGATCATAGTTCACTTAGAAATAAGAAGAAAAACGGTATCAAGCAAATGTATTATATAATTTGACAGCTCAAAAATGCAATAACAATAAATTAATGATGAATCGGCATTAACATATATAAATGTAAATAATGTAATAGTTTATTTATAATTTAATTTATTTTATTAGACTTCTTCAATTGAATATAGAAACGTGAATGTATAACACGGTAAATACAAAAAAATATGCTTAATTTCTGAACAGTAAATAAACAAATATTAATATGTACCTATTTAGGATGAAAATTGACATACATTTGAGTTATATGTATAGAAAAAGTAATGAATATAACTTATAAGGAAAAATGAAATAGTAAACAAATGTATTTACCATCAATTGCCGTAAACTTGAATATAGATAGATAGCAATAACAGTAAAATAATACTAGGAAAACGTGTCGAATACCTACAAAAAAACTAGAGGAGTTTTTTCCACACAGACAACACATACAAAATTGATAAAGCAGTTACAGGTTTAATAATGAAATTATTGATGACATGTGCATATTTTTAAACGAAGCGGAAATTAGAATTTGTAATAGGAGACAAAATGGTACTTTTAGAACTGATTCTGTTTGTTTTTCGTCTATAGAGAAGATATATTATGTTTTACCATTGCGTCTATGCTTATTCCATGTCTACCACTGTAACTGTGACTGGGCAATATGCCACACATGACTCACCAACATCAGTTGTTTTTTGATTAATTAAATGCGAACGAGTGTGTTAATAATAATTACATATAAAAGGAGATGGTTCGGAAATGGTCCTCACAAATGTATTGTGGATTTAATAATTACTCCTTAACATGCACGCACTCAATGAAGCAAATTCTATTATCACCTAATTGTATGATTTAATCGTACAAAATCTGTTATTTAATTACTGTAGGGTTGAACAAAAACTAAAATATATATTTAATGCCCATTTTTATTTTTCAGCCATTAAAAATAAATCTATCAAAAATGTAAATAGGAACTTACATCTAAAATCAAGACGTAACAGAATCATACAATTTAGCTCAATAAGCGTGTACATAATGTCTTCATCAATTAAGAGTATCACATATAATTCGGCACAATAGATGGTTACAATTGGACGTGGGCGAATGCAATCTCAGTCCTTAGACTTGTGCATTGCATGTGTAACTCAAATGGAAAGTATTGTAAGAAGTAGTAGCGAGACTGGATATAACAGAAACGTGTAAAGAACTAAGTTATGATTTCTAGATGAGTAATTGATATCTAAAATGAATACCAACGACATATTGTTATAATATTAAGCCGTTAGAATGTTAGACGGAGAGAAAGAGAGAAAGAGACTAGTTAAAATAAACGTAATATTTTTTAACAATTGGATAACTTTATTGTTGCTACCGAAAAAAAAGAAAAAAATTACGATCGCAAACATTACCTATGCATTATGTAATGTTAAATGTTGACATTTTGTAATACACAGTCAAAATAAAGATTTGGCATATTATATAAGTTATATTTAAGGATATTATTAATTTTTAAATTATCAAATGTTATCGACTATAAAATAAGTACATTTTAAATGTCTTAATACGATATAAAGAAGTCATTTACTTAGCGATAAATTGATAAGTAGTAGCCAAATAAGGTTGCACGAGGCGAAGCATTTGCATATCCCTAATTTATATAGTGTTTAAACTGTTAATAAAACTACGATATACATCATTAAAATCATCACGCAACTCTACAATCGACTACGTTGCTTATTATAACTGTAAGTAGTTAAGTTATTACTCATAAACCATAAGTAATTACTACGAGAGTTTAGTATTTACTTAAGTAAAAGTAGAATTTCACAAAAATATTACCATAATGTGCCTATATAGGACCTACTTGTGAAGTGTCTTCGTTTTTACTTATGATTACATTCAATTTTAACTGCTTTTGTGATCGGATATGTTGAAAAAAATTTCTTATCAAATATTTTATTAGCGTGACTATTACATATTTGCCACATATTCAATACCGGTTATTACGATGGTGTCGCTTTATATAGTTTCCGGTTTTTAATATTATTCGAACAATATAATGAATGACTGCGTGTTTTAAAAAAAATACATATATATATATATACAATATACATATATACACCTATATAATATAGGGATCTGTATATAATTTACAATGTATATAGAGACACAGTACAAATGTACTTTCTTCTCGATACTAATTTTATGTTTTTAATTATTTTATACATGACAACCATATTATTAGTTATACCTTATTACAGATTTATACATGAGAACAAGATATCTACATTCTGAAAACTCGGTTAACACCGTGTCACGCACAAAAAAAGTTGGAAAAAATTGATTTGCGCCCAATATCTGTGCAGGAGCATCAGACTGCATGGTAAATAGGTTATGTATTATTATAGTAATATATTATATTAATGCGATAACGGTGCAGCAGAAACTTCAGCGGGAAAACGATATTATTTGAAGGTATTAATTAACGGTTACGGAAATCGAATACGCGCCGTCCAATGCAATATTTAATAATAATATAATAACGGTTTGTTCGAGGACCACGTTGTGTACATATAATAATATAATTCCGAGCACATTTTAAAATAAATTACAGAAATTAATGGCACGTACTAAATTTTAGGTATATATGCGGTATATAAGGTACACAATTAATACGTGCCTATAATACACGGGCCACAGAGCGATGCTTTCATAGTAAACTATCAGGCAATATTTCAACAGTATTTGTTTTTTATCAAACGAAGGCATGTGTGTATAATACACTATATTTTACATTTTTCTACGAGTTATTTTAGCTGATTCCCGATAAAAAGTAATCGCCTCGACGCCCTGTATAATATCTGCGGGTATAATACACTTCGGGCCCCGCGGCGATGGAACACTTTGTGCCATAATACTAACAACATCAACAACAACAATATGCATTCGGCTGCAGCAAGCTGGCCGACGGAGATTCCGGTCACGAGAGTTTATCGCTGAGGTGACTGACTATAATATTATGAGTACCTATTTACCAATACTGAGTCCGGCAAATCGGCGGCGCATTGTCCAGCGCAGAAACCATCCCATTGTGCCGATAGCGTATGTGATGGACGATGGACGACGACGATTATAATACGCACATAGGTACGTATATTGTGTGCCCGTACGGGGGCCGTGGCGATCGACTCGTGTGATCGTATGTAACAATAATAATACATAATATACCTATGACGATGAAGCGTAATAATAATAAAGGTTTGTCGAATCATAACGGGTTTTTTTTCCATTATCATTTAACGAACTCTGCGGCCGATGTCTACGGGCATGGCGAATTTGGCCGGACCGTACCCGAGTGGACGAGAACGAAAAGAAAAAACCGATCACTAAACGCGACGACGAGAGGTATTACAACGAAAAAATAAAGATAAAATACGTAATTATAATAATATATGTACAACAAAAATACCGCGAACAAGATGCATTATTATTATTACGCGAGGGAAAAGCGATATATATATTACAATTTACAATTTTTTTTCTCGAGAAGCGCTTTTTTTATTGCAGTTAAGGAATATACAAACAACGATGGGTACGGTTTTTATTAAAAAATGTCAAATAAAAAAAACACTGCGCTATTTCGTAAATATGCATAACCGACCGTCCGATTTATCACGCAGAGAAACACGATAAAAGAAGTACAATAAACACATATACAAGTCTTATTATAGGTTAAATTACAAATTATTACCCTTGTTTCTTAATCATCATGCTTATGGACAAAATAAAAAACCGAACAAGTGCAACAATCACCGATAATAGCGACTTTAATGATCATAATCTTCAAATGTAATGTTTTACTTGAAGATTGGCTAATTAGTAATGAATAATGATAACTACAAAGTAGTAAAGTACATGGTTAATAAAAATTGATAAACATTTTTACTGTGAAGCAATTATTTTAGATTAGCTACCAAGTATATACAATGCAGTCATCAAATTTTGTAAATTACCATATGCAGAAATTACATATAATAGGATTAAAATTTACGATAGTGGAAATATATGATAAATTTATTGAAAAAAATTTTGCTGTAACTAATGATGGCAACCCTATCTTATATACTTAAACAAAAAATGATTTGATTTTCGTTAGCCAAAACGGAATTCATGTGAAAGCCACCCAATATGGCAACCTATGAGGTTGAAAAAGTAGCTAAAAATATCCTTCGAGTCTCATGGAGTCTAATATTAATACGTTTTTTTATTGAAATCGGTCTAGCATTTTTTGATATTAGCAGTTCATAAAAAAAATACTAAAAACGAATTCTGAAGATAGTCACACAATAATACAAAATTGACAAACCAATTATTTGCTAAGAAATAATTTTAAATCGTTTGGGGCGATTATTTTGGTTCTAATGTAATGCGACTAAGTTAGATGATGATCAACATTAACAGATTGGGATGGAGGAATTGTAATATTATCCAGAGATATCGCAGGTAAATGTGGTATGTGAAGATATCGATTGATTTACATTGAATCACCATTGTTTGTACCAAATAGTGATGAGCTCAATAATTATAGAAGTTTATAATATTATGAATTTTTATGAATTGACATAATGTCCTAATAGGGCTTAGGTTATAATATAACCATAAATATTATGATGCCAAATGAATTGCTATGATGTGAATTATTTTACATTTATCACTAAATAGAACGATTTATGCAAAAACTAATTTAACAATGATTTACTTTATTTATGAAGGATTCAGACAACTAAATATATATTTATATATTATGTATACATTTTATGTATGTATATATAATACGTGTATTGTCAAAAATCATTATCATTAACCACATCCTATAATAATTATTTATCATTAATTATGTAAAACTACTCACGCAAAAAATAAATTCGTAAATGATAATTACAATCATTCATAAGTAGTATATATTATATAATTAGAAATTATTCTCGATATAGTTTAATACAGTTAATATGATATTTATGTACATGCACAATTTTTCACGGATACCCTTATTCTGTTTAAACATTGTCTTATATTCTGAATCAAGCGATGAATGTACTGAATTTACAATGAACTGTTTTTTTTTCAATTTGTTATCAACTCATCCATTTTCAACTTTGAGAGAGGGTTCTGTTAGCACATTGGATCTTTATATTAATTTAGGTGGTCGAAGATAAAAATGTTTAATGATTTTCAATTTAACTGGGAAAAATAAAGCGGAATATTTTACGCCACGCCAGGTTTTTAACAAAATCGATTTTGTTTTTTTGGCGAAACTCAAAAACATATTACTGTAGAAACTTGAAATGTTTGTACTTGCAACTTCTATGCATGATTAAACTTTCAAATTATTTTTATTTGAAATTTTTGATATTTTATTTTAGTAATATTTCTGTAAATGACGATAAAAATATTTTACTTTTGTAATACAAGGTTTCTTATAAATTGTACATATCCCAACTAAAAAATACCGAAAAAACATATTCACAATATTTTTTTAAAAGCATTTTAAGTTAAAATGTTGATAACATATTTTGTCAATACTACAAAAATTTACAAAATAATTGTAAATACATTTTTATAAACTTTCCAAATTTTAAATAACTAAGGCTTAATTTTTAACAACTCATAACTAGTTCGTACTAAAGCAAAAAAATACGCAAGGACAATTTTTTTAATAGACATTTGAAGTTCAAACATGGACAAAATTTGATATTCAACTGAAGAATAACATATTTTGTTATTTTTGTTGTAATTTAAAAATATTATTCGTGAATACCAACTTGAAACTTTTATATTTTGACATTCATTAATACATTTTAAACACACAATGAAATGTTTAAATGCAATGTTTTTGTCAAAAATAAATACATCCTATACTATTATAGTATCGGTACTATAATATAATATTAAAATAAATTATTTAAATATATGCATTCTTCAATAACATAATAAAATAAACTTAGTAATAGGCCGACAGACTGCACTCAGAATCGTTTTTCGTACGCAATGATTTATCATTGAATCCAAATTTAGCACATCCATTACAGTGACTTACTCAATGATGAGGTACACTCGACACCTACTGTTCAGAGGTAACCTATATTTACCCATTTTAGAGTACATACATTTTAAATGATTATCATACATTATGTTATTTAATGAACCTTATTTTTATTAGATATTATGTGTAAAATATGATAAATAAATATATATATTTTTAATAGGTATACATTAAACCGTTAAAGTACTTTTGTCACTAGAATAATAAGTTAATTACACATATATTATATATATATGCAGTATTCTCTTAAAATGTTTTTGGAAATTCTTTTTGGTTCTTACCTTAAGATTATGAGCAATTTGCTTTATATAAAACATTTCCATGTCTTGTATAACGTTAGGTTTTCCACTGGTTTGATTTCCGGTGGTCTCCAAATAAGCGGAATTTCGCCGTTTATCTTTCAGCGTTAGAGCGGCCAATGGCGGGAAACACGAGTTCATGGCCGATGGTCAAATTTTACAACTGTAAAAGGGACGCATGGAATTTTAAACTTTGATAGAAACAAAGGTGAAGAGAAAATTATTAAGTCCTGAAGTGGATCGGGTCCAAATCAGCAGCGTCTCTCTCTATTTTGGTCGTCGCCATCGTCGTGCGTCGAGTCGTTATAACGTCTAACAAATTATTATATTCCGTCGGTCAAAACCACAGTATATGTACGCTAACACAAAAATTATAATGGTTCGCATGAATTACCAAAAACAAAAACTAGAACATCGACAAAAGAAAGGCACTCATTCTTCTTTGATCACAAAGGGCACATGCTGTGCTCATTATGAGCTCTACAACAAACGTTCAAGAATAAGTTATATATTCATTTTTCATCGCACTATTATAAGATTTTTAAAAACAAAGTCTTAAAATTGTAAACTACACTTTTCACTGCACAGCATCAAGATTACAGTTTTATAAGGATGTAGGTACACACAAGCATAAATTATGCTTAGATTCACATTCAAAGACAATTTAGAAGAACACGAATTTACTTGGTCCGAAAAAAAACGAAAGATTAAGATTAAGAAGAACAAGGAATTATAAAACTTAAATAATATTAGTTTAATGAAACGAAACACCGAACACTAAAATGTATAGAATTATTTTCCTTAATATAGTTCCTCGCAATACAATATAAAATATCGGTTCTCATCATATAAAACATATCTACGTATGTATAGACATTAATTAGGTATACATCAAACCCAACAATAACGTCTCTATGACAAGGACACATGTCGTGCATAAAATGCTATCGAACTTGGACACTTGGTACACCAAACTTTAGCTTAGTTAACAAAAAAATTATTTATGTTAGTATATACTATATTGTTTACTTATTGAATGGACGTAGGAAAGTATAATGTCACAATATCAGTTATTATTTAATAATAAAGCATATTGTTGACATTTTCGGGTGACCTACATACCTATCATTACTTTGCCATTTACAAGACTGATTTTCATATTTCTAAAGTTTATAAACACCTGCTTAACTTTTTTTAATTTACAGTTTAGGGCTTGTAAAACAAACGGTTGATAATTTGTTAATTTTTGCAAGCAATTAACCAAAGGGGCCGCTGGGGATCGAATACTCAAGGACCAAAAGGTAGGTATATCAAATATCCTGGTCCAGCGTCCTTCTTGTTATTCATGAATTATTATTATAAGTATGACTTCGGACTTTCTAATTTATTTTTAAAAACTTCTAACGACAATTTGAATGCCACTAAAATGGTTTTAAATGTATGACTATTGTATTTATTCGGCCAAACAGACAAAATACCTACATAAATACTAGAATAAGAATCTTTTAAAAAACAAGTATGTTATTATGATCCACTAATTCATTTTTATTTAATGTGAAAAGATACATATTATAAGTACGAATAAGGTTATTACAGTTGGACATAATTAAAAATAAAAATGATTAACATCAATATTATAATCAATATATAATAGTATATTGATGACTTTTTAAAACAATAAATTATTATTATTGTTGTTTTAAGATATTCCTTATCCCACAAATTTCATTAAAAATAATATGTATTGATTCAAGAAAAATTATAGCCATACTAAATAAATGTTTCGACAATGCTCTTATTTCATATGAAATTAAGTTTGATACTTGACTTATTAATTATTAGTATCGATCGTGTCGGTTACGAAGACCCTTAAGCCAATTTAATGATACTCAGAGGACACTAAATGGCATTATACTGCTATAAAACCGTTGTATAGTCAGATGTTTAGTTTAAAAATATGATATGTACCTAAACAATAATTTTAAATAACTGGTCTAGATGAAGAAATATGTTTAATATATTACAATATGTATTAAAAATAATATGTAATAGTAAACTCAAATTTTTCTAAATATCTTTAGATTCTTTAACAATATTAAAACTATTAAATCGAAAATAAATGTAATTCCATTGCAATAGTAAGATGTAGCTAAAATGGTACATTAAAGATATATAATATGTTCTCGAATAACAGATAAGTAAAACAAATAAATTTGAAACAATTTCCTACACGTGTTTGCAATGACTGGAATGATAACACAGTGGTATAAAAACTATTACATAGGAAGAGAAACATAAAAGATAATATTTAAAAGCTTTTGGTCATTTAGACAAAATAAAAATCACTAGCAGCTGTAGGAAAACGATAGTGAACTTGTAAACATGTAAATCAAATACGATTCGACGGCTATAGACTAAAGTAATGTTTAGGGTTTTGCCGCCCGGTTTCATTGGCTACGGAAATGTCATGCAAAAACCGGTTCCGCACCTTTCACAGAGTATTGAGAAATATGAGCGAAAAAGTTTAGAACAATTAAATGGGGCCCATATAACCTTAAACAATATTTTATCATAATTATTAATTATATATTTATATTAAAATTGAAAGTATATATTTTTTTACTATTAAAAACTTAAAAGATTTGAGACAAACATGAGCCAGGTACAGCTTGAATTTATAACAAGAGAAAAAAATATTATATTGTTTAGACAATTTACTTTTAATGACTTCGAGTATTGATTTACACTTAATAGTTAATATAATACATTTGTTGATGGGAGCATTATAAATCGTATACAGTGTAATACATAATGAAAAATAACCACTATCAAAAATAAAATTTATAGTTTATATGCTATATATATTTGTGTTATCTACCTACATGATTTATTTTAATTGAAATTTGAAAAAATGGGTGAAATTTTTAGGTGCATATTTTATACTATTATAATTGTTCAATATAGGTACTAATCTGAAGTTATTTTAATACAAGATTTTATATTTTATAAATAAAGGTATACCGACAGATATATATATTATATATATTTAATCAATTGATTATATATTTTTTTTAAACATGGACTATATTACCTTATAACTTTGAGCAATAAAATACTTGAATTTAAATTCTAACGTCAAGCACCATTAAGCATTCTACACAGAACACACATATTATCAATGATAATCTGATGATTATGATACTCTCGGTCTTCATATCTTTTGTTATTGACGAAAAATGTAAAAGAACAAAAAGATACGGGAATTCAAAATGTGTTGAAAATTGAAATACTAACGATAGAAATTGAATATTAAAAATTCAAGAAAAACTAAAATGTAGTCACGAATCACGATAATCATCGTATATCTACATCCCCAAAACAATTAATTTTAATCATATTTTCTCATACATATAAACACAAACACACTATCTCTCTCTCACACACACACACACATATCCTATTATATATGACAATAGTATAGTGTGCCGCATACACGCCACTCGAAAAACGCCACTTAATGTCTTAAACACTTGAAATCTCGGCCGATAGAAAAAGTACTGGACGTGCCTGCCTGGTTAAAATAAAAACGTACAAACGACCGTATGATGTTAACCACGTATCATATGTTACTATCATAATATGATGTTCATATTAACGAGCTGTTTTCGGTGATAACATCGAAACGAGAACGAATATTGCGGGGGTCGTACATTTAGAAGGTAATAAAATGTAGAGTGTACATATACCACAGATCGACTTCAAGTCAACAGATACCCAAAAAGAGCGAGGGAATGTAAGCAACGCATACGACGGAGATTTCGGCGACGACGCACAATAGGTTATTATATTATCCGAAAAATACTGCAGGTGGTCGTCTTCAACAACGACGTCCTCTCGTCCAATTTCGCTACGAACTTACACAATATTTGAAGCAGGACATCAATTAATGATATGACGGCGGCGAAGTCTGTTTCCGTTTCTCGAATTATACAATAATAAACGACACTTTATTATTAAGGTCTATAATATAATGATACTATGCACTGCACTATACTATTACATTCTACGTTTCACAAGCACGGCGTAGATGCATCGGACACGGGCACGAACGCACGACTACGGCACTACGCGCGGGGCCAATGTCGGACGCGGCGTGGGTTATTTTTATTCGGTACACGACGCGCGACCTGCCGGCCGATGTCAGTACTAACCACCCGACGAAGGGAACGATGATGTCACCGCTCATGGTGAATGGTGATTGAAGACCGACGATGACTATCGGATGCATAATATATGTGGCAAATAGGTCTGGTGAGGAAGGAAGGTCTGCTGGTATGTACAATATACACACGTAAAACGTATGCCTCACAAAAAAAATACCCAAGTTTTCACTTTTAATCTGTTATTACAATTTTTGGGAATGATTTTTTTTAAAATTAAAATTGGATTTTATTTAGGTCTTATTTTCTAAATTAATAGTGCGTATCTTTGGCCCAACTAGTCTCATTTTGAAAATAAAAATATTTTGTTAAATTATAAGTATTCAATAAAAATTAATAAGTTACAACACATTTTACAGCGCATAAGCCCATTTCTAAAGCAATAAGGCGAAATCAACATAATAAACATAACATCAAAATGTCGGTATAAAATAAAAAAATCATAGGTGAGAAGGACAAGGCGAATAAACCACCTCTCCCTGTAGTGCGGTGTCCAGAAGACGATGCGGTTATATCATATAAGCAGTATACACAACGAGTAAATAAAAAATACCTTTATTAAACCATCTGAACTGACACACGTACAAACATGGGTATTGAAGATTTCGTAAACATATACGACAGTTAAAGTCTCTATGCAGCATATTCAGTCAAGTGTCCGTCACCCGAACTCTACCTATAGCCAATAGGTATAATGTATATAACCTTATATTAGGTATACGAACCGTAGCGGAGTTCAAATGAATCGGACAATTGATTGTGGAAATGAAGCGTATAAGGTTAGGTCTAAAAGGCTGAGGCTTATGGATTTTTACTGTTATATTCCATACGATATATCGTATCACTAAGAAAATATTTGAATATATAATATCGTATTTGATCGTATTCATATCGGATATTCAAGTGCATAACTGATAAATGATAATAACGGGCACCAAAAATG